GTCATACAGCTTGCAGACTAGATTTGAACTCAGGTCTTCTTGACTCCAGGACCAGTACTGTATTTACTGCACCACCTAGCTGCCTAGGACAATTTTATTGAAGAATTAGGGCAAAGTGAAATGAAAAAAAAAAAATTAGAGTCTATTTTTAACAGACTGAATGACTTCCCTAGCATTCAGTAATGAGTTTTTATATTTGTTACATTAGAGAGATATGAACCTGAGGTACAAATTGCATTGAAAAGTAAAGGACAGGCTTCTAAGACAGGTGACCAATATAAATAAATATTGCAAGACAAAAGAAAATGAATCAATACCTAAAGAGACAAAGAACATTGTGCATTTCCAGGAGAAGATGGAACCATAATAGGATGTTACCAAATGTTTTAATAGAATATTAATAATTGTAGGAGCAGAATTTATAGGCTGTATTGCCAAAATAATGAAATCTGCATTGGCAAACCTCATCAAAGAAAACAGAGAAAACAAGTGATTGGTATTGCAGAACTGATTAGGAATACTTCCGTGTATCCAGAAGTAAAGGACAATCTAGAAGCAGAGAAGCAAAAAGCAATAATGTTAAAAAGAAAACATGATCTCTATTCAAACAAAACATTAATCTGGGGAGGGGAAGAACACATAGAACCCTGAGGATTAGGTATCTCCTAGAAGAACATGATAAGAAATGAAAACTTAGCAGACCTTCTGAACACAAAAGAATAAAATAAAGTGACAGTCAAAAGAATTCATAGATCACCTGGGAGGATTCGAGGAGGAACATGCCACGAACTTAACTGCCACAAACTCTAAAATTTAACAGTTCCAAAGACAAATAACAAATTCTGCAAGTGACTAGAAGAAAAATCTTTGAATGTAAAGTAAAATAAATTTGAATAACTTAGGATTATTCTGCACCCACCAGAAGCCACTGGAGGAAATAGAATTTGTTCTGAAGAGCAAAGGAACTTAAGATGCAACCCATGGAGACATACCTTGTAAATCCAAGCTTAACCATTAATGGAAAAAAAAATAGATGTTAAATAAGAAAGGGTATTTGAAGCATTCCTACACTGTAAGCCAGGCCTGACGTTGGTTGCTTTTCAAATACCCCAGGACCCCCTCCCCCACAACTGGTAAACAAATAGAGTAACCAAGGAAGGCACAGAGAGGTGAAATAAATTGCACCAGGAAAAAAAAAAGGAAAAAACTAAAAGGAAAAGATACCTGTGGAGTTTACAACAACTATAACAGATTAGCAATCTGTTGTTAGTTTTACTTTTTAAAAATAAACAAGGAGACAAAGATCTGTCTATGAGCATTTAGTAAAAGCTTACTATGTGTCAATCATTATGCTAAGCACAGAGAAGACCTCTCTTGACCTCAAGGAGTTTACCTTCTAATGGAGGAAGACAATATATAAAATGAAACTGAAAGAGGGATGGAAGGGGAAGAAGAGTGCTCAGCTGGATGAATGGTAGAGGAAGTCTACAGTGAGCCAGGAAAAGAATGCAACTTGACTGACCTGGGTACCTTCCTTTAGTGGAGGTTCTATGAAGAGCCATCCAATCAGCAAAAGAGGTCTCAGGTGCAGGGCGTGGGAGGCTGAAGTGGGTGAAAGGTGAAAGTGGAGTCAAATAGAAGTGATAGTGAAGGAACAGGCTTGAAACATGGACTAAAACCTCACAACACCCTACCCACAGGTGAATCATTGTATTTTGTATGTACGTCTTTGGGCGGGGGGGGGGGGGGGGGAGGCTAAACTAAAGATTGGAGAGCCCTTAGGAGAGGTGAGGAGAGGAAGAAGATAGAAGGGAATATGTGGTGTAATCAAGTCAAAGATTAATCATGAAGGGGAAGTCAACCCATAGTTTCTCAGGAAGAAAAAAAAACCTATATGAGAAAGGATTTGGAGGCAAAGGGAAGGATTGAAGAAGGAAAGAAAGGGGGAAATCATTTCAGTACTGAGAGAGGGTGCCACTGATGAACATTCCCATGGGGGAAGAGATATATTCTTTGTGGGACATGGGGACCTTACAATGAGTAAAGAAACTATTCATCCTGCTACAGGAGAAAGGGAATCAGCTTCTATGGACCAGTTATACTCAGAAAAGTAGGAAAGTTTGAATCCAGAGTGGAAATTTCATGGCAAATGGGCAAATAATCATAATTATTTTTATTATGAGGGAGAGGACATGAAGGGAAGTAATGAACTGCACGAACAAGGATAGAAGAAAATTCCTAAGGTGGAGAAATACTTATGTCCTTTCTATCATATACAAGAATTGGAATTTTAAGAGTGAGGCACAACAGAAAACTGGGGCAGGACAAGAGTACAAGGCAATGACATAGAAACTTTAGGAAAGAGAATTCAAAATCTATACCTTAGAAGCTTTAATTCTACAAGGAGTTTTAGACTGAAGAAGGAATAAATAAATAAATATAAGAACCATGAATCAAAGAATAAAAAGGGTAGAATAGTTAAAAGGGAAGAGAAATAATAGAGAAAATGAGGAAGAGATTTTTTTTTGAGAAAAAGACTTTTTTTGAGAAAAATGAAATTAAAGCTAACATACAACCCAGTCAAAGGAGGGAAAAGAAGAAGAGGGATTCTACTTGACTAATTGAGAAAAAAAGTGGAAGAATTAGGTAAGTAGATTAAAGAAAGAAAGAAAATGGAATTAATGAATTAAACAAAACTAGGGGAAAGAATGAAAAATGGGAAGGTAGTGCTTCAGGATTCAGGGAAGAGAGCCAGTGGGAATAAAGGTGTCTTAAATTAGATTAAGCTAAAATAAATGGAGACAAATGATTGTCCTTACAGAAGTAGAGACAAGAAATTTTTAATTTGAGGGACAAAGTATCAGAGGAAAATGGAGCAAAATGCAAACCTCATGACTTTAAATGTCCAATAAAGCACAAAAATGACATATTGAATAGCAAAACAAAACCCCAGAATCTGTTGCTTATAAGAAGTATATTAAAAAAACCAGATATACACAGAAGAAAACTGAGCAGATGGGAAAAAAATTTATGCGCGCACACACACACACACACACACACACAGAAACAGGTGAGTCTAAAAAAGCAAAACAAATTGGCCTCTATCCCACCTTTCCAGTGGTCTTAGGCCTTATTCCCTGCCATGTACTCTTTGATCTACTGACACTGACATCCTTGCTTTTTCTTCAACAAGATATTCTATCACTTGGGGCAGCTAGGTGGCACATTGGATAGAGTACCAGCCCTGAGTCAGGAGAACCTGAGTTCAAATCTGGTCTCAGACTCACTAGCTGTGTGACTCTGGGCAAGTCACTTAACCTCAGTTGCCTCACCCCCCCAGAAAAAGAAAAAGATAATATTCTATCACTTGACTCCAAGTATTTTCCCTGGCTGTCTTCCATGCCTAGAATGCTCTCCCTCTTCATCACTGATTCCTGGCTTTCTTGGCTTCCTTCAGGTCCCAGCTAAAATCTCATCTACATGAAACCTTTCCCAGATCCCCCTTGATAGTACTACCTTCCCTTTATTGATTGTTTCCTACTTATACATACAGATACCTACATAGAGTCTTTTTTTGGGGGGGGTACCTAATTGTTTGTGTATTGTCTCCCCATTGGCTTGTGAACTCCTCAAATCTGTAAGCTGTCTTTTGTTTTTCTTTGTATCTCCTGCATCTTGCACAGTGCCTGGCACTTAGTAGACACTTAATAAATGTTTGTTGACTAACTATATATTACATTCTTTTAATGTCTTATGATTAGTGAATTTTTAAAATTGCATTTTCTGGTCTATGAATACCTCATTGCATTTTAACCTGTGATGTTGATTTACTTGATTGTCCTAGGTTAGACCCAGAACAAATAAAATTATGTGGCGAGTATAAGTAATAAGTTTATTACCCACAGAATTGTGCAGAAGTGGCATTAAAGATTACATTAGACAGATGTATGAAAAGGATGTAGGGTAATTAAGTAGTGAAAGCAAGGATCACTGATAGCCTTGGAGTCTACAGTATATCAAGATAGATAAGGAGATAATTCTTCCTTACAACATGACTGATGTGAAAATATGCTTAATAGGAATGTGTATAGATAGCCTATATCAGATTGCACACCATCTTGGGGAGGGCAGTGAGGAGAGAAGGGGAGAAAAATTTAAAGCTCAAAAGTTTATGGAAGTGATTGCTGATAAATCAAAATAAATAAATAAAAAATACAAAAAAAATTAATTAAAAAAGAAAGATAAGGAGAAGGTCCCTAGCCTGTTTTAGTGAACCTGCCTTAGAGGATTTATGGGGGGACAAGGACAATAACTATATAGCATACGAAGCATGAGTGATTTCCAATCTTGAGGAACATACATGTCAATGAAATCACAGATCCAAGAAAATATAATTTAGTCTCCTATAAAACTTTCTGCTTCGTGAAGATAGGTACTACTTATATATTGGGAGGTGAGAGAAGTATGAGTGTAATAATTATAAGCACTTTAGCAAAGTAATACCCTGTATATGTCTATCAAAAATGTGCTAGTATTTTGCTTTGGTACATAATCACTTCAGCAAGGTTGATATTTATTCCTGTAGTTCCAAGAGCTGTACTTTTTTGGAAGGATAGCTATAGGGCTAATGTACTTTGTAATCCAGAGGAGAAAAATAATATTATCTTTTAGCAGTTGATCTTTAGAATAAATTCAAGAATTTGTATTGTTGTTTATTGAATACTGCTTGTGGAATTTGTAAATTTTTAAGAGATATTTCATAGAAGGTTTTTGGTACAGAAAACCCAGTTAGTTTATTTTAAAATACTGCCTGATGGAGAATACTCTGATTTCTCACTTCACAAAACATAAGACATTTTCTGGTAGTCTAAAATACTCAACCTGTAACGGGGGGGGGGGGGGAGAAGTAGGTTGAGTTAAATGAAGACATTTAAAATTCCTTAATGGGACTGAATATATTTTTCAAAGTTAATGAATATCCCTTTGTATTGTTTGGGCAGGAGGAAGCACTTCATGGATTTCGGGTGAGTGACTACTTTGAATACATGGAAAACTTGGAACAGAACTATAGGCCCATGCTACTGCAAGACATGAAGAACATTCGAGTGCAAAGCACGTAGCTCCAGAGAACTAGCATTTCAATTCCATGTTTTAGTTGTTCTTAAAAGGCTACTGATTGTTTCATATTGGTATCCATAAAAATTCACGCTTTGTGAATGCACATATTGTAAAATCAATAATGAGGGGTTTGTGAATAGAATAGTATTTTCAAGAAGGCATTATCTCAATTGGTGACCTGAAATGAATTCATTTTTCTAGGCTGGTTTACAATTGCCAGTAGATTGCTTTAGTGCCAGCCCTAGGTTACTTGCGGTCTTTGTTTGTGTTTTCTTTGAGTGCATCCTAAACTATACCACCTTATTCCAATCTGGTCTTTGTCATCTAACTCAAATAATTCTAATGAGTTTGGTAATAAAAAGCAATATTGAAAATAATCATCTTGCAAGCCTGTATGTGTCCATAGAGATAAGACAATTGTTTTCTGTATTCATGGTCCTCATGTGAAGAAGCAGAGGGGAGGGGTGCACTACTGTTTCATTGCCTAATTATTTTCTAAAAGTTGGTAGGTGATACCTAGATCCATGAATAAATTTTCATATGAAAATCTCTACCTTTCTTACTTCAAAGTTAAATTGGTTGTTCTATCCTGATGAACATTCTACTGTTGTTCTTTGACATGTTTTCTGTAGTGATTAATCTGATTTGGATTTCATTTGAAGCAAGAAATTAAAGCATTGATTTCTGAATTAATTTAAGTGAACACATCATTTTTTCTTTTATTTGAATGGAAGTCTGTCCTTAAGGAAAATTTACCTGAACAAGTATGTCTCAAAGCTGGTTCCAGTTTATTTTCATGTAATATAATTGTCATTGTGTTTCTTATTTATGAAGAGTCTTTAGAGTATAAAAGTGCACATTAAATAACCATTTTTTTCGGTAGGACCATCTATTTTAAATAAAAGTTGTCCAATAGTAACATCTTGTTTTTGAGTTTAACTTGAACAATTTTGCTGCAGGCTTTTCTACCCAACCTCATCCTTTCTAACCATTTTACCAAAAAATGGTTTACAACAAACCCTTTTTCTTTTCTGTACAAGAAAGAACTGGCATGAGGCATGATGACTTGTATAATATTCAGTTCTGTGTGATTTTAAACTATTAGAACATCAGACTACCAAAACCAGGTTTTATATTGTAAATGGCAATATGACCATATCAGGGATGTTCTTTTCACAAGGTGGTGATAAAGTCTATCAAAGAAAATAGGGCAAGTTAACTTGACATCCTGTACATTTTATCCATGGCTCATGTGAATTTAGCTAGAGAGTCCTCTAGATGACCTAAAACACACAGCTTTGTCTGCTTTCAAACTTAATTTTCAAAACCTGTTCCACAGAACCTGTAATATAAGTTTATGGTTCCCTTTCTTCCCATTCTACTCCTGAATTATTGTTGTTGGTCCTAAGAAACTTGCAGCACTTTATTTCTTTTTAAAAGCAGCTCCACAGTAATTGGAAATATGAAATGGAAAAAGAAGAAACAATACATTAATTTTAGAATGTTCATTGCTGCTTTTGATTGGAAACTGAGGTAGGATATAATACACAAAAGTTGCACTTTTAGAAAGCTGACTTCAGCTAGAGCCAGGAGGCTAACTTTAATTTTCATTGTAGAAGTAAATAATGCTGTGTGAATAACTGCCTAGTGATTTGGCTAGTGGAAGGCAATTAAAAAGTGTTCTAGCCCATGTGGTGGCTATTGTGAATTTACTTTGTGTGAGTTATTTAATTTCATCAGTGTAGTTTGGAGGAAAAAAAAGAATATGACCTACCTTTGGATAGTCTTTTTCTTTTCCTTTCCATTATTTAGAGTTTATAAGCCCCTAAGAAAGCAGTGGATAAAGAGCTGGTCCTGAGGTCAGGAGGACCTAAGTTCAAATATGACTTCAGAGATTTACTAGCTGTGTTATCCTGGGCAAGTCACTTAACCCTGTTTGCCTCAGTTTCCTTTTCTGCAAAATGAACTAGAGAACGAAATGGCAAACCACTCCAGCAAACTTTGCCAAGAAAACACCAAATGGGGTCACAAAAGTCAGACCTGACTGAAGTGATTGAACAACAACAATCCCCTAAAGGCAGGGCCAATTGTATTTCTTTTTTCTTTCTTTCTTTTTCTTTCTTTCTTTCTTTCTTTCTTTCTTTCTTTCTTTCTTTCTTTCTTTCTTTCTTTCTTTCTCTCTTTCTTTCTTTTTTGAATAGGGTACTTGATATACTATTTATGATTCAATTATAATAAACCATATCTTATGACATAGCATGTAATCATTGGTGAAGTTTTTAACAATAACATTTATAATTCTGGATAATTACTCTCACACACTTCGTGTTGATAGTTATTTAGGTATTAAATCAGTCAGAGAAATTCACCATGGGTACCTAATGGAATATCTTCTATGTACATTAAGATAATGGCTATGCATGGAGTATTTCAGATGGTGGTTTTATAGTTTCTAGAAAGGAAAGAAAATCTACTTTTAGTAGGTCTTCCCATTCAATCCTTATCCCTACCAATCTATCCACATGATTGTTTAGCTAATTAGACCAATTAGAAAGGATTGATACTACACTAACATGGCAATATATTACTCATATCTGGGGAGGATCATAGAATCATCAGTATGGTTGTACATTTTAAAGACAGTTATGTTATACATACACATTAAATACAGTATAGTCTTCTTCATACACTTAAGAGCATTCTGACTCTATGTGCTAAATCTTTGGTTTTTATATGGGAGAAACAAACGCTAAGAAAGTCACATAAAAGATAGGAACAAATATATGTATTTAAAAAGAAAGAAAGAAAGTGAGGAGGGTTCATGTGACCAATAAAATAAATGATTAGATATTTTCTTCAAGTCCTATTAACTGAAGAAAAAAGAGAGATTATTCACCAGATGTAACTTCTTCCTAGGCATTTTCACTTAGACGTTAAATACATTGTCTTCTACCCCAAAATAACTTCCATTGTTTCTATTGATGATACTATCCATGATTTTCTTAATTACTTAGGCTCAAAACTTTGGAATCATGTTTAATAACCCCTTCTCCCTTACTCCTGATATTCAGTCAGTTACCAAGCACTGCCCAATTTTTAATTTTATGCACCTGTCCTATATGTAACTTTCTGTTTCATTACCATTGTTTTAATCCAGGCCATCCCATGTCCCTTACCGATCACTATAGTTGTCTTTACTGGTCTACTTTACTCCTCCTTCCAATCTGCCTTACACAATTGATCCTTCTAATTCCTGGTTTTCCTCATATAAGTCCCCCTTTTCGCCAAACTTTTTAGCCTAGTGTTTCAGATCCATCACAATGTGCCCTCAGCCTACCTTTTTAATTTACAAAAAAAAAATTAAATTTTAGCTCTGATTTAAATCTTATTATTCCCCTAGAATCATGGGACCTAGAGCTATAATTGAGGCAAATAATTTAAACTTGCTGGGCCTCAGTTTCCTTGTGTACAAAATGAAGGGTTGGATCATATATACTCTCTGTGATGTCTTCCAGTTCTAAATTCTAAGAAATCTATGACTATTATAATTCATCAAATGGACATTCCAACATTCTTGTGTTTTATCCTTTGCCTGGAATGACCTCCTTGTTTCATCTCTGTCTTTTGAAATCCTACCACTGTTCAAGATTCAGTTCCCCCAATCCACAGTGATTTCACCTTCCTGAGAATTTATAGCACTTATCATCTAAATGATTTATTTGTGCTTAATCATAGTACAACATGTGATTATTTTATGTTAACTCATAATTTTAACTTTTAATTCATACATTGCTAGATTATAAGCTCCTTGAGAACATAGAACATATTTTTATGGGTTTGTTTTTGGTTTTTGTTTTTATTTCCTACCATATAAAGAACTGAGTGCTATGCACGAAATACTAATTTATGATTATTTGTTGGAATGAAATACTAAAGGTCTAGACTCATAAAGTATAAATAAACTGAACAGAATATGAGTACATTTACAACGTCTATCTCCTTCCCACTTCCAGCCTTCAATCAGCTCAGAACACTTTATCCTAGAGTATAGCAAAATCAAGATGAGAAAGCTAATTTTCTCTTTGATAGAGCCAGAATTGGTGATTAGGTTCCCTGATCAGCCCAAAGCCTATTTAATTCGTTATGTAAATGAAGTAACATACTTTTGCAACAATATTGTTTTCTATTATTTTAAATTGCAGATGTATGGTATTTCAGCTATATAATTGGTCGGTTAGGCATCTGGGGGCTACCTTTGCTGCCTAATCACCACTTTATAATATTTCTGTAAGATATTTATTCTAACTTCCAAATAACTGGTGCACAAATAAATTTTGGTACTCTTGCCAAAATCATAAGACTTGTGCTTGAGTCCCCACTGTACCATTTTTAAAGTGACCTTGAAAAAGATATATTAGCTTTCAATTTCAAATTCTTCATCAGTAAAATGAGGATATTAGTCATACTACTTACCATATTTGGTTGTGAGAAAAGCATTTTGTAAAACTTTAAGTGTTTATTTGTGTTTGTAAAACATTTTGATTTGCTTGGTGCTGTGGGAAACATTACAAATATGTTTAACATACAAATAGCTTTTACTGAAAAAAAAATCTATATAGTCTTTATTCGCTGAGGCTGGTTTCTGGACTTGTGTTCTCTTACTTGTCCCCTCTGGAGAGAGACTGAGGCCAGCGGCAGCTGTTCCTGTTTCTGCCGTTGCTGTTGTCGTTTATCTTTCATTCTTAAAGAGGACCATAACAGCAGGGAGGTGATGCCAGGACATGCAAGCGAATTGGATTTGGATTTAAGCGAGAAAAGGCTGTGCAAAGTCACTAGCCTCACTTTCTCCTCTGGAGCCATCTGGGTCCAGTGGCAAGATATAGATGAGGACAACTGAAGATGGCCCTGGATGCAGTGGGAGGCTTTGGCCTTTTAAAGCTAAGGTCTTTAACAGCTCTCAGTTTGACAGAGGCAGCTCCCATTCAGTGATTAAGGCTAGGTAAGAAATGAGGCAGAGAATGGTCTCTTGTACCTAGTCAAAAAAAATCAATCTTGGAGGGAAAGACCCTCAGGGTTTGTGGCTAAATCACAAACAATTACTATTTACATTCATTCTCAGTCAATCAGGGCCCAAACAATGACCAGGTCAGTTTGGCCTGGGACCTTTTGTTGGCCAATCAGTGAGAACCAGAGTGATTTGAGTTTAAGGCATGGTCCTTCAGAAAAAAAAAATCTAGCTTGTAATGATATTATATGTGTGCAGAGGGAGGGGAAGACATGGGAAGGGAGGGCAGGGGAGAAGGAAGGAAGGAAGGAAGGAAGGAAGGAAGGAAGGAAGGAAGGAAGGAAGGAAGGAAGGAAGGAAGGAAGGAAGGAAGGAAGGAAGGAAGGAAGGAAGGAAGGAAGGAAGGAAGGAAGGAAGGAAGGAAGGAAGGAAGGAAGGAAGGAAGGAAGGAAGAAGGAAGGAGGAGGAAGGAAGGAAGGAAGGAAGGATATGTTGCACAGTTGCCACAGTTCCACTTGGGTCTCCAGTGGGGCAGCTGCTGCTACTATTTACAGAGGTTGTTGTTTGTCCTTCCTTCTTGAAGAGGACCATGACATCAGGGGGCTGATGACATGACGTGTGAGTGAATTGCTGAAGATGCATGCATTGCTGAGTTAACAGGGATGGACTGAATTGGGGAAGAAAGCAG